TTGAAATATCTTGTCTGCTTATATAGTTTCAAGAGTCACAAAGTCACTCTGTAAGACCGTCTGCAGTCGCGTTCACTGAATGACTGAACATCTGGACACTTGTCGCGAAACTGAAGAAGCCTACACAGTCGGTTTCTACCCTTAGACTGAACACCAAGAGAAGACCACGGCGGCTCACAACCCTCACGCGATAGAATGAAATTTCCACGAGACGAATCTCACCGATAGACCTTAACACAGTGAGTTGTGTGTAGGTTGGTGGTTGTATGATTTTCCCAATGAACGAGGGAGGTTCGGTGTTGGTGAGAGTATGACTCTCTCTCGGCTTTACATGGCAAAATTGGGGGTGATATCAAACAGACAGAGCGCGAGCGCGTGCGCCATTCAACCCCTCTGCTAGTTAAAATCGCTGGCTGTTGAAGGGTGAGTTCAGCTCTCAGCCGAAATGACTACACAGGGCATCTTATGTACAAACAGCTAATGTACAGGGATGTCTTCTTCACTTTAACTTTTTACACTTGGAGTGTCTGTAAAGAATTTATTGCAAATAGCAACTTTGCCATTTTTTGGCAACACTTTCGCCGCACATCTCCGGCCGGTGTTTGTCTAGTTGTCGTCCCTCGCGCCACTGTAGGACACCATAAGGAGGCCCATCACACAGAGTGACGCAAACTACGGATGTGGGATAAATCTTGTCCGTGACACAATTTTCGATAGAGGTACTGGATAATTAAATCCAATTCCCCCACCTTCCCACCCAGAATGGGGAGATATTAAGTGGCGAAAAGACACCCCCTTCAAGTCTCAGTCTCCTTGTCGGCCAGACAAGGGCACTCTATCCACATCAAATCCCAACTAACCACCCTTCGTCTCGCATTGATGTGTGACTTAGGTGGAAAATGCTGTACATAGGAGACGCCGAGGGGTCAACAGTCTCGAGCAATTAATAACAATTACACCTTGGCATGCAATCTAGCCCAACCGAGAAATGCCAGCGGACGACGGAGGGTATGTGCTCATATTCTCCCCAAAAAGTTCATCCCCTCGCCTTGCCCCACTCGGGGCGATGTTGTTTATTTGGTCCTCCGGTCTCGGCATTATTGATGGTTATATTAATTAGTGAAATTCTTTGAGTTGTTTATGTATTTGAGGCTGCGATACTTGTTATCACAGATATTATTCATCACACAATTCCGCCGGAGGTCATTTGTATGAAATTCCAGATAGTGAAAATTGCAAAATCAATAGCAATCATTTAAACAATGAAAATATTTCAGAGACAGTTGTTGGCGAAAATACTATAATCGCAATAAATAAACACCATCAAGAGAGTTGAAGCATCTCCAAAGTGCTGCATTACTTCTGCATTTGCAATGCAGAAGGTGTGTCTCACTTCACCCCTCGACTTCCCACTACATAGCACGGATCTCTCAGTCGTCGCATGCGAGAGTGAAAAAATACAATGCAAGGGGGCGAAGTGTATGTGCGCTTCCATGTAGAGATTTTATGTGGGGTGAAATTGTGGAAAATTTCACAAATAGAGTAGAGCTGTGCATACATATTTGCATGAATGGGGGAAATAAAGTGGGAGAGCGCATACTGATGGTGAGGAAAGTTGTCTTGATTGACGATGTCGCGTCTTGCAGAGAGCGCACCGTACAGTGAAAAATGCTCATCAATTCTCACTCTTTCAGCTTCCACACCGACCAAATTTCACGCACATAAGATGCAAGCATGACGAAGATGGTGATCAACATTTCATACATGAGAATGCGCGCGTCAAAGGGAACCTTCTTATTCAATAAACTGCGAATATTTCAGACAGTCTCCTCTTCTAACATTTCCAATTAATTATGGAGCTCCTTTTTTCTTCGCGTTCCACCAGAAAATTAATTTATTACCATCGGGGTAGGAAATATTAGTACATCACTCTCCTTCGCTATGAGACCACTTTTTCCTTCGCCAATTAATTTCCCTTTGATGTACTTTAATGTCCCGAATTGCGCGCTTTCTCTAGCGACAACTAGCCATGCGACACATGCAAGCGCTCCTTGTGTCTTTTGAAAATCGACCTAATGAGATTAGTGATATTCAATCCAAAGCCAAGGGTGCGATTGGAGACTAAATCCGATTGTGGATGTGAAATATGAGTTCTCGCACGTCCCACCCTCCACAATAGTCAGACCATTTCGCTTGGAATGGGATAAATTATCGATTGGAAATCATTGATAAGTAATTCTGCTGCAACTATGGATGTTTTATTGTCGTTCCAGGAGTCAATTTTGTGCGTGAAACCATGTACAAATTCATGGAGAAAGCCACCCCTGCTTCGTGTGACTAATGCAGGCATACAAATGCACCCTTAAGGGGGTGTCTCCCACATACAAAACATTTTCAGTGCAATAAAGCCACCCCCAGAAATCGGGCATTAAGAGCCAATTGAGCTGTGAATCCTCTAGTCAGCAGTTCAACTGCCGTGGGATGAAATGCTCCGTTCATCACGAATCTCTAATCATGGTAAACGCATTTGTTCGGCAAATTTGTCCCACAGGACCACCTTCAGCGCTGCCAAACTGCCTATGTGTGTATGTGTTGTGCAAAATTACAATTTTCCGTTTTACTTTTTCATTATGTGGTGAAAATTGATTGTGTGCTCTGAATTTTTAACCATAAAATATTCAATATACACTAATTCTCTCATCTGTCAGTAAAAACCACGCTTCTCAATTTATCGCCCAGATTAATTAGCGTGTAGAACAATTCGTTTCGTATATGAATACACCTCCGTATAGAGGCTTATTTGATAAATTTCCCCATATTATACCTAATTAGTTATTGATTATATTCCGCTATTATAGGATTACTCATTTTCGTGCGCATTTTCGCTGAAATATCTAATCAAATTAATTTCTAAAGTATGTATTTGCTCAGTGCATTACCACTATAAAATCCAGTTTAACAAATATGTTCGGAATATTCCTGCTATTTCTACTTATGCTCGGAACTTTATACGAATATTATGCACATAACAGTGTACAATGCAAATAAACCTCATCCTTGATTGCATCATTTGCAGTTGTTTTTAAATCATCTTGTTTTATTATTTTAAATATGACAGAAAAAAAATTTATTGCATTTGCTATGCAAATGACATATTGATTTTTAAAAAAAACTCTTGATAGTAAAAGCCATAATAATATGATTCTCCCCAATAAATATTTAAAACGCACCTAATACATATAATAGAGGAAAAAATTCAATTTGCTAATGAAAAATCAGGAAAACGGAATAAATATTTCACACAAATTTTCCGTTCAAATAATATCATCCGCAATACAATTCATAGAGTATTTTCAAGTTGTTTTCGTTCTCTAAATCACCGAATACGCATCGATTTGTATCAATAGTGATAAACAGATTTATTGGCAGAGGGATTCTCATCGGCACCCTTCCAAAAAATACTCTCCATCGAGTGAGGAAGGGAAGTTCCAGTGCGGACACTGTCTTAGAGGACATTCTGCAACTTCTTCACAATGTTCAACCACCCAGATTTCTACCAACCCAAACTACAAATGTACAATGAAAAGACTCTGAAGATTTATTTGATTTTGGGGTGTTTTGCGAAGAAAAATTCCAAAATAGTGAATTTAAAATGGGTGTTTTTTCTTTGTTTTATGATAATTAAATTCACAGTTAAATTTACTGCCATTACTTCCGTCTGCATTCTTCTGATTTCCTTCGCGATACAGCAAAGTTGAATAAAGTTGTGAAAAAAATGAAAACATTTCGGTTATCATCATTTACTGACTTCACAAAATTTCCTACATTCCACAGATTATCTTGGAACTTTGAAGCACAATTCGCTATCTTTTCATAGCGATAGTTAGCATTAAAAACGGGGGCGATAGAAAACAGCTCCCCTGTTCTGTAATTTTGTCAGCCATAGAAGTCGAAACCATATAACTAATCCATTGTGGACGGATTAAAGTGGGGGATGAAAAAGCCATGTATTTGTACTTAATACAGATCGAGACAATGGGGAAGCGTGCAGAAAAACACGATTGTTGTGTGTGCTCAAGTATTCACAAGCCGGGACAAAAGAAAGCGCCAAGGGTTGGCTGCCTCCGGTGAGTTTTGCACTCTCTATTCTCCGGCCGAGAGCATCATGTGGTTATTGTTTTATTGAATCTCATCGCCTTTCCTTAATTGCTGCTAGAGTGTCTATGGTACACATTTATGTAAAATATGATCCGCCAAACACATAGAATAATTAATGCTTGTTTGAGGCAGGGGGTTGAAGCCGCACAAAAGAGAAAGAAGGCAAACCCCTTCATTAATTTCCAAGTGTGTTTTCCACAAAGTCGTCAGAGGAAATAAAAGGGGCTGAATATGGAGTGCAATAACTCTAAATTGGTAGTTTATTTTAATTATAATGCCCGAGTCTATTGATACTTGTAATCTGGTGTAAAAAGACGATTCACTGACCTCTATTTTATTTCCCAGAAGTGAAAATGACAACCGGTTGAACATGGAACCTCACATTTCTGAGAAAATCCACAAGCTTTTTTTTTAGAAAAATCATCAAAAGTAGTGAAGCAATTGTCAAGAATTGTTTTTTGGAAATTACATATATTCTTCTGAGACGTGATTGAGTTAGAATTTGAGTATAATTCGTATAATTTATGTATTAATGTATTCGTGTATCGCTTTTATCACTGACCTGTGAAAAGTTCGCTCCTTTGGCTTTCCCTTATTTTCTGGAGTGTGCTCCAACAATTTGGCCAATTTATACATCTCGTCAATTCTCGATTATCTGAAAAAGCAATTATTGGATGCTAATGAACTGGATTGTAACTTCTTGCTGCGTATTTGGCGTATTTTCATTAATTTTTTATGAACTCTTAAACAACTCAGTTCTTTGATGGTTTGTTTTTTTTTTTAAAACTCACAGCATTTTACAGCATTTGCAGTGCAGCGTCCTCTGGCGAGAATTTTGGCTGTCATCCAATGTTTTTGTTTTGCTTTCGCGAATGAGTGGTTTTTCGTGATTTTCTCAAGAATTTCCCCAGAAAATGTCTGAATACGAGGGTGTTCGCAGAGGAAAATTGGTTCTAAAGGGCGAAAGTTCAAAGTAAGCACGCAACTTTGGGTCAAACAATCAGTGCAACCCTATTTCTTTTACATTTCCCTCAGGACTCAGAAGCGGAAGCACAAGAAGGATAAGAAGGAGAAACATCAGAAGCGCCGGAAGCCCAAGATTGACGAGGATGCGTTGAAGCATGGTGGTTGGTGGCAGTGTCGGAAGGTGGAGGAAATCACTGGCTCAGTGGCCATTCAATTCGGGGAAAAGACGTACGTGAAAGCCCTGGACAATGGTCTGTTAACTTTGGGAGCGCCCCACAATGACGGCGACCCGCCGGCACCTGAAGAGATCCTGACAGCCTTCGCAATCAGCGACACGAAGGTCTCGTTCAAGTCTGGATACGGGAAGTATCTGAAGGTGGAGAAGGATGGCGTGGTGACAGGGCGCTCGGACGCCGTGGGCGCCATGGAGCAATGGGAGCCGGTGTTTCAAGACAGAAAAATGGCCCTCCTTGGCGCCAACAGTTGCTTCATGGCCATCGACCCCGAGGACGATGCCGTAGTGGCGCTGAAGCGGAAAGTAGGCGACGCCGAGATCGCCGTGGTCAGGAGTTGCGCCACGAAGGAGGATGAAGATGTGGAAGTGAAGCCCACGGAGGAGATGGGAGACTTGTCTCAAGTGGAAATCAACTACGTGTGAGTGTGCATTTTATCCATTTTACGAATTTTATTGATTACGTGCAGAAAATCTAGAAATTGATTTGCACTTTGTCGTTAAGTTATACTTCGTGAACTCAACACTTGCTGTGATGATAGAAGGGAAAAGAGTGGCGATCGATGATTTACTCTGGCTTCTCTTCAGTGTCAAATAAATCTTTCGCCTTTTACTAAAGATTTCTGTGGAGAGGAGCACTCAAATGAGTCTAAATTGAATTTTTTGTCAGTGCCCGACGAAAGTTGGGCCAAATTAAAACCTCAATATCTAAAATAACATTGAAGAGTATGTGTAAAATGCATTTTTTCCCCACACAGTTTGATAAAACTACTCGAAATGATATAATTTTGGGTGACAGACAATTACAATTATTCACGGCGATTCTTGAATCATTTTTTTTATTGCAACTCTACTCATTTTAATGACATCCAGACGATAAGCATTCAAATTAATCTCAGTAATACGGATATATATTTATTGGAAATTGACTGAAAGTTCTCGGATAAAACCTCAGTTTCAAGTCGTATTTTTCATTCTGTAATGTCTAATAATTGGCCCAACTTTCGTCGGGCACTGACAAAAAATTCAATTTAGACTCATTTGAGTGCTCCTCTCCACAGAAATCTTTAGTAAAAGGCGAAAGATTTATTTGACACTGAAGAGAAGCCAGAGTGAACCAATGATCGCCGCTCTTTTCCCTTCTATCATCACAGCAAGTGTTGAGTTCCCGAAGTATACATTAGTGAAAAATACTTTTGAATCATTTCGTATTTGGAACAAATTTAGGAATGTGTTTTCACGGCAATTTCAGGAGGAAGTTCCAGAAATTCCAGGACAAGAAGCTGAAGGTGAATCAGGAAGACCGCACGGAGCTGGAACGCGCCAAGACGGAGGGATATCTGCACGAGGCTCTCCTGGACAGGCGATCGAAAATGAAGGCCGATCGCTACTGCAAGTGAAGAGGTGAGTGAAAACAACGCATCGTTTTACTTGTGAATCTGTAAGTTTTATTGCGAAACAGGTATATAGCATTGAGTTAATGAAATTTCGAATGTGTGTATCTTCTTTGCAGCTAAATATTCACTTCATCTACAGTTGTAGCCCTCTTTTTGCTATTCCATCGATCCCCAACCTCTCTTCTCCAACAAATTGTAGGCAGTCCGTTACAAAAATGTACTATATTAAAAAATATCGCTCTATTTCACTGTGACGACACATCCGGAAAAAGAAAAATTGTTTTGTATTTACATAATGACAGAAAGTAAAAACATTCAAGTTTGTGAGGTTTTCTTGGTGTTCTTCAAGCGGCACTCTTCATCTGATCCCGACCAGATATTGACAGGCGAAATCAAAACGCAGTCGTGTGTATTCTAAACTCCACTAATAATATGACTTAAATACATTATTAAAATTACATTTTACTGACAAAAAGTTGTGTGTAAAGCAATTGGTTGTCTGTCCTCTTTATCCCTTTCTTGTGCTTTCTCTTAAATAAGTCCTCTCAATCCAAGATAAAATTGGATTTTGCAGTGGGTAAATCTTCCCTTCCTTACATTCTTTTTTTTTCCTTTTTAAATATATTAATATTGTTATACAGACTTATGACGTTTTGTGTAATCTATTCAAAATCATTTAAGTAATAATTGTAATCGTTATCATTTATCCTTTATTCACTGAACAAGTTTGCTCTCAGAAAGGCTCCTTCATTACATTATTATTAATTTTATCATTTCTTCCTTATCGCCTGTACTCATAACTTAAAAGGCTTATTTCATGTTTTTTTTCTCTCACTCTTCCCTACTAGAAAGTGATAGTGGACTTGAATATAATGCATCACTTCTTCTACAACATTCACCGAAGTGTTTTGTCTTTGAAAATCTCCTTCCTATCTTTCACTCTCTCTCTTTACTGAGTAACTTGTTCGAGTCTATTTAAGTTGATTCTTCTGTTGTTTTTTTTTAGTTGAAATATTCATATTTTATAGGCATATTGTGGGGACGACGGATTTCAGCTAGTAGATCCACCGTTTCGTTGATGTCTTAGCCACTCTACGAATTCATCTAGCATCACTGGCCCTGAAATACAACAAGACGAACACATTACAATCGCATTATTTGGCAGTGAAAAGCAGGAAAACTCACATGCGCCATCCACATCGTAGTTGGATAAGTCGGTGTTGATCGTGCGGGAGAATTCTAGTATGTTAGACCATTGGTCTTTGTTGATTACTTTGTACTTTGATTGCTCCACAAATTGGGCAAAATGCGAATAGAGAATCCAGTGCTTGCCCAAGAGTAGCTGAAGCATTGCCTTGGCCGTCTCAATATCCATACTGCGCTGATCTTTATCCTGAAAGTCAAAGAAGACAGGCACACAAATCAATATTGACACTCAGAAATTAGTTCAAAAGCTTTTACAAAGAATTAAGGCCATCGCCGTGCATCAATTTCAAGCTAAATTGAGTGATAATAGTTGAAAAATAATGATAAATCACCATTCAAAGAGGGGAATCATTGAGCGTAATCAACGATATTTTTTTACACCAGCGATATAGAAAAGACGAATTAGTCTTTCTCTGCCATTTCCTGCTTTTTCAACCAAAAGTGCTGACGAAATTGAGCAGCAGAAGCACATAATAAAATGTTTGTCTTTCGTCACATCAAAATACGACAACTTTACCACGACCTCACAATCGCTATTCGCGTGCGAGGAGCAAAGAAGCAAAGAAGATAGTGTTTGAGACTCACCCTGGCGAAATCATACGCATATCTGTAGATGCTCTTGAAGGTGTTGGAGTCATTGAGCAAACTCCTGAGATAGTCAAGCTTGGCCTGCACTTTGACAATTGTGTCGCATTGGAGGTCCGTCAGTCCCTTCAGCCACTCGCTCTGTGTGAAGAAGCCCATCTGCCTGGCGCCCATCTTGTACGCCAGCACCAGCATCACCACATTCTCCGGCTCCACGCCAATCTCCTCGCAGAAGCGCTCCATGCCGTCGGGCCCGAGGGTGTCGGGATCGTCCATGGTGGTGTACCGCTTGAACCACAGAATGCACCTCTTGGAGCTGAAGCCATCGTCGGCCTTGCTGTTTCGCCGGGAACTGCTGCTCATGTCGCGGCGCGCGCGGAAAGAGAGAGAAAGAGAAAAATACAAAAACGATAAGCCAAACTGATAGCACTCGCACAAACACTGACCTATTGGAGGGGCACACATCAATTCTCGCTCAATTTTTCCATCTCACGAGGAGACGACACTGCCCCCCCTCCCCCCCCCCCCCCTTCCCTCCCCGGCCCCAGCCCCAGTATACAGACGAAATACATATGAAGGAGGAAAAAGGGAATTTTGCGTGGGAAAAGAGGTGAAAACAAATTGGATTGCAGCGGAAAATCTCTCACTCATCACTCACTTTTCTTCATCCATGCAACACAAGAATCTCTTGAGCTTCCCAATTTTTTACACCCCACACAATTCGCAAGAGTCACACACCGAAGAAGCACTCCAGTTTCCCTCTTTCACGCGATCACTCAACGCGACGACACTCGCGATTTTGTGGATTGAGAGCAGTTGATAGTGAAATGATTTGTGTGTTGATGTGCACTGAAAATTTTGCAATTCACCAATTTTTGTACTCCTCAGCTGGCAATGAACTAATTTTGCCCTCCTCACGCCCGCCACCAACACACCACATTTTAATAATAGACCCGAAAACAAGACTTTTTCGACGTGCCCACGAGTACAGCCGTTCATCCCATTCAGCACTGTCGCATGCTTTGCATTCCTCGGCGCCTGAGGTACGCCGCGATTCCGCGATGCGAGTCAAGGGCAACTGAGATTCTGCAGGGGACAGGAGAGATCTGCTGAACTTTCTCCGCGATTGCGAGCAATCATTGCTCAAATCAAATCTTAGCGCAAAAGTTAATTGACTGGATTTTACGTAAGCAGAGGCAAGTTTTCTACAAACACACGCGCTTGAAGCTAAATGTCAAATCTGCGCTTCTGAAATTCTCGAGAACAACACAACTTATCCATGGTTTATCCAGAACTTAAAATCCTTAAGAACCCGTGTTTTTTTACAAATGTAACATTCAGCATTTTCTCTTGGGACACACCAAAGATTTCCGGTTGGCGCACTTTTTCACGGGATGTGCGACTTAGTAATCATTCCGAAAGATTCATACATGATTGGGTTAAAAATAAAGGTGATTGTTTCGCCCTGAGAGTCTCTCAGGAGACAAGCTTTCTCGTCAACACACGTCCGGCACAGGGACAAAGATCAACCCGAAGAGAGCTGTCAACTTGCACAAAAGCAAAAACCTCTCGTGAGCCGGCTTTTGAGCTGCTTCGGGAACTGATAGCGCAAACTGCATAGGCGGTGCCGTTACCTGGTGTAACTGTGACGCTGTCTCTTGGATGCTTGCCGGTGTCCTTCGTCGGCGGGAGGCATTGGCAGGACGTCAGCACGTCGTTTCGCACGGGGCATGGCCAACCTCAGGAAGTCTCTCTCTCTCTCTCTGCAGTGACCGTGTGAGTCTGTGACCGGATTCACTGCAAAGGAAAAGGTCGAAAGTAAGGAATTTCCGCGCTCCAGTTGATGAGAAATTGGGAAAAATATGCAAATTAATCGATTGTTAGGTTATGGCACACTCGATCAATGAGAAAATGCTAGAAAAAAGTCACCATTTTCCGCACATTTCACATCTAGACGTGGAAAACGATGACAAGACAAGCAAAAAAGGGCGAAAGGATTGGTATTCAGGGGATATACATACCAAATAAATTTGCATAAATAATAAATCCGCTGCCAAGGAGTGTGATGTCAATTGTTTCTCTCGCCACGGGTTTTCCGCTTCACAGCCAATTGAGACGCTTGAACGGCAGTCTCACCCTTTACACCACGCCGTGGGGATCAAATTGGGGAATACCAGGGATTTCCGGGTGGAGAAATTTAGCTGGAAAATGCAATTTGCACTACAAATTATTGTGACAGCTTGAAAATATGGAAATTGGCGTGATATCTGACAACATCCCTCAATTGAGCAAAACTGAGCTCGTGAGAGGTTTTCGAGCAGTGTACACTGTTGAAAACTGAACGAGAATCAAAACTTTTCCATGCTTTTCACATTCTTCTTGGTAATGCTATCCACCGAAGAGCTGAAAGAACTTGAAGAAATCCATATTCGCCCACCATATGCCCGGATTTTTAAAGGAGGAATTCCGGAACCCTCCGAAATTTGCAGTGCACCAACTGTCGTATGTTGAAAGAGAGGGAAAAACTTCAGTTTGATGCCATTGTTTTCTGCACGCAGAAAATGTTTTGTGCCAGTTTTTCCGCGATTTAGCAGCGATAACCGCTGAGTAGGAGATAAATAGTCAAGTCATAAGTTAGAGAATCTTTCAGTGCGGCCAATTAAAGTGAAAATGGAGCAGAAGAATAACAGGGGAAACAGCAATGTGTTTGCTGAGCTTCACGAGATGTTTGGAGAGTGCGTGCCACGCAACGTGATTAACGAGATAGGCAACAGGATGTCCTGGGATGGTAAATGTGGCGTGAGAGTGATGTGGCAAGGTATATTGACGGATTTTCCTTTGCAGTCACGAGCACGGTGGATCAGCTGATCAAGTACATTGAGCAGCGAAACGAGGGCAAGGTCGCTGGCGAAGAGGTGAAAATCCAATACAAGGTGTCTGAGTGTCAGGAGAATGATCGGGATTTGGATGTTCTCATTGAGTCGGAGAACTTTTCTGGGCCATCAGCGGCAAATGAAATGCCAGCGAGAGCCACGGGTGCCATACGGAAGCAGCCACAGCAGAAGGCGCCGAACTTCGCGGACTTTCTCAAGGGCGGGAACAATGTGTTCCAAGACATCACGCCGAAGAAGCAGCCGGAAGTCGCGAAAATCACTCACCCACTGATGGAGGAGGTGTGCAAGGAGATAAACTCAGGAATTAGAGTCATGGTGCTGATGAGGGGTCTTCCGGGCAGCGGGAAGACCTACCTGGCGAGGAAGATCGTCGATCAGACGGCTGGTGGTGACTACAGACGCCACATTTTCAGCTCAGACAACTTCTTCTACGACGTCAACGGTGTCTACAAGTATGATATTGACAAGCTGTCCGAGGCGCATCTGTTCAACCAAAACTGCGTGTTCAAGAAGGCCTACGATGGCTGGAGTCCGATCATTGTGGACAACACGAGCATGAAGCTGTGGGAGTTGCACATTTACTGCAAATATGCCGTCCAGTTTGGCTACGTGGTGCGCGTGCTGGAGCCCACGACACCCTGGGCGTGGAATGTGTCCCGCCTCAGCCAGATGAATGTGCATTCCGTGCCTCGGGACTCCATCGAGCGCATGCTGCTCAAGTACGAGACACTATCCGGCGAGCAGGAGCTCTTGAGCATCTTTCAGATGACCTATCCAGTGCCCATGCCCCATCTCAGGTACCATCCGCCCATCGAAATCACCCCGCCGCAGCCCTCACCGCCGGCGGAGATCCACAATGATCTGAGGGACAAATCAGAGGCGTCTGTATCGAGTGACGACAGTCCTCTCGTCACTCCCGAGCACATGGCCGTCGATTGGCCAACGCATGAAACCGAAGCGAACACGTTTTGGAGTACAAACACCGCTCCGGAGTCGGACGGGATCAGTTCGAGTCCGTCCGTCGAGGTGAAAGAGCAGAGAACGCAGAGGAAGAACAGTTTACCTGAAAACTCCTTGCTCGATTTGCTAAAAGAGACAATCATGCCGAAGAAGGAGAACAACACAGTCATTAAAGTGAGTTTTACACACACTCTCGATTCTTCGAAGAGGCGATTAGAGATATCATTTTATTTTGAGTTATTTTATCTTTATAACTTCGTTATACTGTGTTTCTAATCCAGTTCAGATAAAATACGCCTTCGTTTTCGGTTATCAACATTTTTTTGTTCTCAGAGACGCCTTCACATTGAGTTGATTAAAGCATGATTTTAGAAAATGCTGATCAAATGCTTTATCTTGCAGGCCGTGAAACTTGAGAAGCATCGCAAGGGATGCAGGAATGAAAATGAGTCGTTCGTTCAAGTGCGCCAAATTTATCCATCCATCCCTGTTCAGTATCTCTGGGATCTGTTTGTCAATTGCAACGGTGACATTGAGTGGACGGTGGATATAATATTGCAAGATGAGATTGCAGTGCCTGAACTGAGCGAGACGACTGCAGCTAATGATTTATCGTGCTCTTGTGATGGTCTGGAGTACGCAGAGACTCCCTGGGAGAGTACAGAAACTGAATCGTCGCCTGTACAGACGAAAAAGATTAACATTCCCACATCGCAGCGTCAGCGAAGTGGTCGCAAGAATGCGGAGAACGATGAGTTGGCGGCGGTGGCGAAGAGGAGAATCGAGGAAGCGATCAGTATCAATAATGAGCACTACTCGGATCACGTGAAGAAGATCAGGGACATCAGGAGGGGGATTTTTCCCACTCCTTCAACGTCATCGGACATGGTAACGGAGTCTCCGGACAGTTTCGAGATGGGAGCCTGTGCAGTGACGCGGAATCGCGAGGAGTCGCCGTCGTCGGAGACTTCTGATCCGGAAGATGAGGTGGTGATTGAGGTGGATCTGGGCGAGACGTTGATCAAGCACATGGAGAACCTCTTCTTCGATGGCGGCATATGTGAGAAGCCGAAGGACTTGAAGAGCACGGTGTTCATGCCAATGTCACTGCTGAGGCAACTGCATGCGCTCTGGGTGGAGTCGATGTTTAATCAGCTGGAGGAGCAGCGTGCTAGGGAGCTCGCGGAGGATGAGAAGTACTCCAAATGGCTGGTGATGAAGGATTATGCCCAGAGTCCGGACTCTTTCCTGCAGGACGGGGTGGATGTGGGTGATATGGCGGACATGGAGTTGGCCTGGGAGGCGTACAAGAAGGAGCAGTGGCGCAGTTCCACGCCACAGGATCTCGCATCGCAACTCACGCGGCAGAAGTTGTATGAGACCTTCCCGGACGCGGATAAGACCTTCCTGGACGAGATTCTGGCGTCCAATGGCCATAAATTCGTGCCCACTGTGGAGCTTCTCATGCATTCACTGGGAATGGAGAGGAGAGACGTGAAGAACAATGGACTGAAGATCATTGAGGAGATGAAGCAGGAGAATGACAAGATGGAGCAGAAGGAGAAGCAACAGCCGACGAGCAAGGGAGACGAGAAGGATAGCGCAGTACGGAAGCGCAACGAGGTGCTGTTGGACTTTGAGGAGAATCGCAACAAGGCGAGTTATCACACGCAGCTCAAGCAGGAGTGCTATCAGAAGGCGCAGGATGCCATGCGGAAGAATCTGGCAGGCGTGGTGGGATACTACAATCAGGTGGCGAATCTGCACAAGCGAAAGATCGACGAGTACAATCACAGGGCGGCGAATTGTATTGTGGAGGCCCACGATTTGCAGCAGAAGAACTCAGACATGCTGGATCTGCACTATCTTCACGTCACAGAGGCGATTGTGTGCCTGGACTTGTTTTTGGATCGTCATATCAACTACTTGCGGACAAGGAAGAAACCATACAAATTTGTCTTTGTCATCACGGGCCGCGGATTGCACAGTGCCAGAGGCGTGCCCACGATCAAGAACAAAGCCAAGCTTCATCTCGTGCAGCGATATCTTAAGTGAGTGTGACGAAAATCCCTGTTATCTCTTTATTTAATAATTGGGATTAATTGAAATTGCAGGTGCACAGAAGTGAATCCGGGGCTGCTGAAAGTGAAATTATTCTACAACTCGAAAATGTCCGAAGAATTCTGACAAGAAGCTGCTTTTGATTGCCATCATCTTTTAAGGCTTTACTGGCTTTACCACAGTTTAGCACATATTACACCGTATACTTATGATCGACAAAGTTAAGAGACAAGCGTGACCAAAATATTTTTTTTTTCACCATTTGTAAATCATTTTCAGGTAATTTTTACTGAATCAGGATACTAGAATTAAGTGAATGTACCTGAATTGTGATTGATTCATTAGACAAAGACTATACTTAAGCTCATATTTAAGTGATTGATCGAATAATTTTTATGAAATTTTCTATGACATCGAAGTTAATTCTTTGAAATAAAAATTAATTACGCTGGTGCTGCGTAAATGGAAAATATGAGACTTCTATATTTCATAAATTTACAATGAAGCGGAAAATTAAGAGGAATAATATTATCAAAAAGCATCTGCTTGAAGAAAGCTCTAAATATTCGTGGCTGAAACCGCATGAGATCTTCCGATCGAGATTTCCCGATAACTTTAAATTTCCCGGTATTTTCCTGAGACCGTCGGGACGGGATCGGGAATCAAGTCGGGAACCGAATTCTCGCGAAATTGACATACATGTCAGACTTGTTTACGGGGGCTCTTTCGTGTGTGTTTCGCGTGTTTCGCACCTCTCGAGCGCTCTAGCCACTCATGGAGACCTCATTTGTGTGGAAGCACTTCTCAAGGGACTCCCGCGAGTCTGCCACGTGTAAATTTTGCAAGAAAGAGCTCAAGTGCAAGGGTTCGTCCACCACGGGATTGCGAAGGCATCTCAAGAGCATTCATAACTTTCACCACTTTGGCCGGAAGGCGGCGCTGGAGAGTGAATCGAGCTCAGAAAGCATGTCAAATGCAGCCGACGAAAAGAAACCGGGTAAGTGCAAAAGCGCCAAAAGCGTTTGGCTTTTTTGAAATTCCCCTTTAATAATATGAAAATTCTGAAAATTCCAGTTGTCTCGCAAGCTTCACCATCAATAATTGCAATCAGAAATGACTTGGATGCGCAAGGAAGCGCTCAATCTACCGAGTATTTTGACTTCTCCATTGAATCAGCAAATAATTCTACGTTGCCCGAAAAGGCAAAACGCAATGTTCTGCTTGAGCTGGTGAACATGCAAAAGGAGAAAAAGGACGAAGATGCATTATTCTTTGAGAGCTTTCTGCCTTCAATTCGGAATTTGGCCCTTCAGGACAAAATGCAGTTCAAAATGGAGTTTCAGCAGCTCCTCTACAAATATATGTTCAAGGAATCAGATCAAGCATAAGAATATTATTGGTGAATTTACATTATATTGATCAAAATATAATTCTCAAACAAAAAAGTGTGTTTCTGGCGCTTTCATTGTTTAGAGGTTATGTTATTGCAGTTGCCCAAAATCATGACAGATCAACAGGTTGCTCAATTTCGCTGAAATCAACGGATGGAAATTTATCTATATTAAAGGTGTTTTCTGTGATTTTCGCTGCAATTTACACTGCCAGATGGACATGTGTGACACAAACGTGGCCAACAGGAGCCTAGACAGCTTTCTGGCGGACGAATTGGCTCCATTCTCCATGAGAGAGCTTTCCGGCGGCGAGCGTTCGCCATCACCCATCGAGAGCACGCCAAATACTTCACTGGACAGCCCATCACACTTCCAGGAACTTTCTTTTGATTCGCCAGACGCCAAGACGTCTCTTCAGGCAGACTGTGATATCAGCTTCGTCTCGATTGAGGACGTGGATGCGTGCATAACGCCGCGGCCAAATTCCAGGGAGCGACAGGAGAGTCTAGAGACCATCTTTGAGGACGTGCTTTTGGACACACCGCCTCGGAAGCATCAACACACTTCTCTCATACGCAAGATGGTGCATCGGAAGTTCCTGGAGCACAGCCCCGAAGGATATCCCAACAATTCTCCGGATTCACCCACAGGATCTCCTCTCCGGAAGAGACTGAAGGACAAATGAATCGACAACACTGTGAAGTGCAGGATTTTGATTTGGTGAATTCTTTTAATTTGGCATAGTTTTTTTTTGTTTAAAAACAAAGAGCATAACCTCACATGTGGAAAAATGCTTCCCGGCTGACTGAACTCAGTACTGAATAATATACAAATGCTCTCTTGGTAATTAAGAATTTTGTAGATGAAAACTATTGAATTTGTGTAAAATCATTTTATTTGTATGCTTCAATGCCATACTTTGTGAATAAAGACTTAATTTTTTCTGTAAAATAGTTTTTATGAAGGTGTTTAGATGTTCGCGGATATTCGTGAGTTTGTATAGCGACGAGTTAGGGGAAAAGTATGCATTCTGCGAGGCTGCCAGCTGGGCTTATCAGAAAAGTGACTGGAAAACTGTTTTGATTTCCTGTTTTTGGCGAAAACTTGATTTTATGGATAATTCAGCTCTTAATACAGTGAGTATTTGACCAGGATCCTGTTAATTGGTGCTGAGAATAAGTGTTATTCTGTCAACAGGCTCACAGATACGCAAGAAGGGCGGAGGCTCATTTCTGCTACAAGCGCTTCGATGAGGCCATTGATTGCCACAAGCAAGTGATCGAGCAGCTCCACAATGCCATTCGCCTAGCCACCGTAGACAAGAGCGTGGTGTCCCTGCAGTTGCAGCGAGAGTACCACACGAAGCAGATCGAGTTCCTGGCAATGAGGAAGGCGCAGTTCGAGAAGTATCGGAAGGCCATCGAGCAGGAGAAGGGATCTGAGTTCTGGGAGCAGAAGGAAAAGACGCGCTCGATCCAGACGGAGCTCTTCAAGGCCCTCGAGAGCTCAGATGGTTTACTTGCGAGTCTCTTGGCGAAGACACAACAGCCTTCCGAACAGAATCAGCCTGAGAATTTAGCTGAGACTCTTCGGGAGTTGCAGTCCTTCAACAAACACATCCACACTATGAGTCACATGCTGGCCGAGCAGCTGGACGGCTGCATAATCGATGCTGATGTCTTACGGGAGAAGATCAGGGCAGAGATGGCACCCAAAGATGACGAATCTGACGACAAGGAAGTCGCCAGCGTGAAGTCGACATCGCCAGACAAGACAGAGTACAAGGCTGTGGAGTCTCTGGACAACATCCTGCAAGATATCAACGATATCCAGGAGATCCCCACGCTTCCACCCCTGCAGCTGCCCACCTTTGACTATTCCACCTTCAGCGATTCCGGGAGCAGCGCCAAGGCGAACTGAGGTAAGAAACCATTGAAATGTCCATGGAGGGGAAGTGGAAACACCGCAAGTGCTCTCAGTAAAATCCGTTTATTCCGGCTACCGCCTGGGCAGCCTCCTCAGAGGGCTCCGGCTCACTTCTTGAGGAAGGGCGGGGCGACCGTGGACACGAAGTAGGGCTGGTAGGGGTTGGGGTTGAGGTAGTGCTGGTACGAGGGCGCGAAGTAGGGATTGTAGGCGTTGTAGGGGTTGTAGTAGCGAGGCTGGACGTAGTAGCCGGTCTTGGGGGGCACCACAACTGACTTGGGAGCCACCACGGCGGATGGTGTGACTGAGACGACAGGGTGGACTGTGCTGCTCTCGACTGGGACGACTACGGATGCAGCGGGTGTGAGGACGCGGGCGGCTTCCAGAGGAGCCACTTCGTCGGGCTGCTGGGGCAGATGATCACCGTAGGCGCGGTAGCCGTTGCGGTCGGCGATGTAGTGCACGGTGTAGGTCTTGCCGTCGGGTGCCACGTAGGAGTAGGAGCCACGGACGACGTGCTCCAGTCCATTCTGAAGGCTGCTCTCAACGGCACGGATGCCGTTTCCAGTCTCATATCTGTGAAGGGATTGTGAAATGTTTTCTTCTTATCTCGATTCGAAACACTTTTAATCTCAAAGGACTCTTCTCTGCTATTTTTCTTGCAGATTTCTGACACTGGCAGGAGTTTGTAATAGCTAAGTAATATTTAAAAACAATGAGATAAGTTTTTGATTTGAAATGACTTACTTAAAACTATGAAATTTTCAGAATAAAAGTGTTTTTGAAAGCAAAGAGAAGTTTTCAGAAAGGCTATCCTTCAACATTGCTAGATTATGCTGCTCTTTTACTGAAACTCTAGAGTGAAGCTGAGATTGAAATTCTATGGAAATCAATAGACAAATAGCTTTTGGTAAAAGCAAAGTTTTCTGACCTCACTTATTGCGGATTCTCAATTTAAAGTCAAGCAAATCCCCAGAAATTCACAGACAAAATGGTAATTGCAACAGGAATGGTAATTCTAAACTCTTCTTCAAAAATATCATTGCTGCATTATCAAATTTCTCTGGATGTTGCACATGTTTCGCCACCACTCAGGCACAACTTTTGCACTTTTGTTGGTTTTTCAGAGAGCTTTTGAAGTTTGAAATCAAATGAACAAATCGGATATTGTTGTGAAAATTGACCAGAACAGCTAACAATTTTTTGGTGATTGAAATGTGTGGAGTAATAAAAAAAAAAGTTTTAAAAACTTCAACACGGGATAGACCAAATTTCCACCCAAATTGGTCCAAAATTGGTTTGATGAATGAATTCTTTGGCACGGCATTTTTTTATTTGGCCGAACTGAATTTTCTACACGTGCGTGCGAATATAGTTTTGCGAAAATTTCCCTCAATTCGACAGTGAGGGGGAATTTAATTAAAATTTACATTGAATTCTTTTAGTTGCTGCGCGAGCCCAAAGACGCTGAGTTAATCTCCCTGGACTGTGGCAATTTGCCTGAGACTGAGGGTGACTGTGCGAGATGTTGTTGCGTGAGACGAGGGGCGGCGGGAAAAAATTGACATGAAATTAAATTGTAAAGGAGAACGAGCGAAGGAGTTCCTTTGAGCCTGGGCCTCCTTGAGACTCAACATGCCTTTTCGCAACTTCCGCCCAGAGTGGAATTCCAGTTTTTTGTGCACGTGGGACTTTCGAGAGTGAATGAGAGACAACAATTTCCCCCCCATTGAGTCATGTCAAGTGGAAATGTGGAGAACACAGCATTGTCCAAAGTCGTGTTCGGGAAGGACAACGAGGGTAGTAGCTGAGTGGCGCTGGGAATTTCGGGAATTTTAACGAAGATCCTCGGCGGGCATTCGACGGCTGTGCCTTAGTTTTCGCGAGTGCTTCACACACAAATCCAATGACTACTCACTCGTAATTGTAGCTGCCGTCCAGATGGGATTGCGAGCTCTGCTTGAGGATGGGCGCGGCGGCTTCGGCCGACTTGTAGGCATACTTCACAGTGGGCTGGTAGTCGAAAGTGGGCGCAGTGTAGACGTGGGGGCGGCGGTAGTTGAACGGTTGGTAGTAATTGCTGGTGAATGGGCTCACAAAGACATCGCGCACGTCGCGAGTGTCACGAGGCTTCTCGTCCTTCTTCTCCTCCTTCTCCTCCTTGGCAAGTGCAACTGAGAACAGTGCCAGCAGCAGGATTGCAATCACCTGAAAATCCTCATCACTTCAGGAACTTTGGCAAACTTTTCAAATTAATGTGGTTCGAATTGGTTTCTTTTTTTGGGTTCTTTAACCAGGATTTCCGTTAAACATTACACTGAGTTTTAAAAGTTTTAATGCACTCGCCACAAAGAATCGCGGTGTGATAGCAATTAAAATATTTTCAAACCAAAACCAGGAACAGCCATTTAATTAGCAATGCGTGATTCTAAATTGGATTTATTTAATTTGATGTTTGGTGTTTTTCATGCATTTTCCATATTGTCATGCTCTACTTAGTCATTCAATTAATTATACATTAATTAACAATTATATTTCATGGAAATCATTATGCATTGAGAAACTATATTTTTTTTATTCATATTTGGTAATTGGTTGTTACAAATCATTTAAAATGTCATTAAAAATTAAATGATTTTTACACGTCAGTAAATGCAAAACTTTTCGCAATTGCAAGTTATAGTAATGAAAAGCGAACGTCATCAACACTTGGTAAACATTGCTGAGTGTTTTTCTTAAAATTTTAATTGAAATGTGCGATGAAATGAATTGATAAGTATATATTGACGGTAAAATGTTTATAAAATTTCAATCAAATTGTCAATTGCATATTTGCAACCATAATTTGTAGAATCCAAATATAAATTGAAATGTGACTGGAAATCCAGAGTATAATTGCATTATTTAACCCAATTTATTATGTGACGAACTGTGTATTCAGAGGCGAAAATTCTATGAAAAATTCATCTATTCTGAATGCACAAGATTTTAGTTTCACTATTGCTGAGGACTCATAAATTTTTTTTTCTCACCAATATTTGGACATGATCAAATGGCACAGACTTTATGGATCAACTTTTAGACGGTAAGCCAAATTTACGAGTAAAATTTGATAATGCATTTGCTCTTCGTGCGGAGGAGCTGAAATTTAAAAAATCCCAAATGGATCAAGCGGCCTTTTGTGCTACCTTTTCGAATTTTAATTGGTCAAATAAATATTTCTCATCTCTTTTAAAATAACCAATTGTTTGGCGAATGGCCTCTCGTAAGTCACTATTTAAAATACCACATGTCTCAAGGTCTTCAAACTTCACATTTCAAATCACTTTTTCAGATCACATTGAAGAGGCACTGTTAATGAATGTTAACGTCAAAGAAAAGGATTTTGTATTCTGTTATGATGTGAGATAGAAGTGGATGTGAAAATACCAATTTTTTGCTTTGTTATTGTGTTTATGTATAAAGAAATAACTTCATCATCAAATGACATATTTTACAAGCTAACAACAATCAATTATGAAATGATAATATTAAGTCATGCGAGTGAACATCAATCACCGTGTTCTTTTCATCCCATTGAATTTTTGCGACTCTATCCACAGCTTTATTAAAAATTAAAAAAAAACCAACCCCTCAATATAGTGAAAAGTATAAAAATTCCATTAAAATTTTTTGTAGCCCTTTTTCTATCGCATTCCTCATTGAATATTCATGAACACAGTTTATTACGTTTATTATTCACAATAATAATTAATAATGATTGAAAATTCTTACCGCCTTCATGTTTGGACCTTTTTTGTCTCCCGTTTCGGGGTTGGAATGTTAAATGAAATTTGGTGAATTGATTTTTAATATCACCCTATCTGCTGTTTGGCCACTGCTACGATATCGCCTGCCACAAAAAACCACACGATGTGCTCTATTGAAGATATGACAAAAAACTGATCTTGAAAATTCTCAGCGTCATACATTTATATATGGAGCAAATCTGTCCGTAATTTGCATACATAGGAATTTTTGAGTTGGAAAAGCAAACAGAGAAAAAAAATGTGAATCCGAAAATCTCCCATTTCTCACTCGAGTGTCCATCGATGTATTGTTATGTGACGGTGAGACAATCACCAAAATACCTGAAAATACCACACAAGAGAAGACGAGAAGTCTCACAAGCAATTATTCAGTTTCGCTTTCATTATATGGTCAGCCGAATAGGCATGGGAGGAAATGGCGCTGAAGAGCGTTTTCGTGGTTTTCGTTATATTTGGGATTTGCCATCCGCACTGGGCTTAAATGTCAAGTTTAAGATATTCCAGCGCGCGCTCGCGGGAGGAAAATTCTCATACACCGAACCATCTCTGCGGATTACTCACTAAACTGGGCGCCTCCAGACCGCGGAGAAAAAAATTACGTGCCTCCAAAAAATGTGGTTTATTCGAATCACTCCAATAAATTCTTTCAACATGTTTAATGCCACAAGTCTGCGGAAGCGTCGCGAAAGCTCTCTGAGATTTCATTAAATTTGAAGTATTTAGGGTTTCGCAGTGCCATGAGGAAATTGATGATGCACAAAGGATATTATCAGAGTGGCATTATTTGCTACTTCATTTTCATTAGGATAAAGTTTTTCGGCAATATAGATTGGCTAGACAGGTAAAAGATGGAAGATTGATTGATGGTTTTGGCCATGATGCAAATTAGTAACTTTTGTGGATTCACATTTCCATCATTATACTATTGAGAATTCTTCGCAAATACCAAAGAATTAAAGAGGATATATATTTTTGCTCTCTTCTCTAGATTTTTTTCTCCATACCTATATTTATTCAAAGTTTCCGAAACGTGCTTCAGGATGGAAAATCAACTTGACTTTTTTCCTCCCTGTCTCATTGATGGGGAGACGATGAAAAATTAATGGTATTTTCTACGAGTAATTTAGAAGAATTTTAAATTAGAGCAGAGAAGAAATTTCTGCTTTACTTTATTGTTCTTTTAATGAAAAGCACATGAATTTCATTTTTACTTGAATGGCGAAGTGGTGAAACCTGAAAAGGCGATTCTGTATATTTTATTTCATCTTGTCGAGTACACTTGCAAGTCTTTTCAGTAGATTTTCACCGCGGTTTATACGCGCCGCGGGTATACTTTTGACGAATTATTGAATTGCAAATATTTAAAATTAAATTCAAATGTGAGAAATATGTATGCAAGCTTTGAAGTGGGGTTTGATTTGTTTGAAGAAGCTGTGCTTACAATTCAGATGAATTCAATTTAATTTTACTCTGTCCAATAGACACTCTTGTCAGGAATACAAAAGTATGACTATGAGAGTTCGACGTCCAGCATGGATGAATAAAACTATAAAATTCTCACACATAAAACGTATTGAGAAAGAGCAATAAAAAACAAATTGTTGACCATTGAGACATTAAATATACGATTCGGAGTATTGCCCAAAAATGGTGTTCATTAAAATAAAAGGACTTTTTCCCATCCACATCATTATAATAATTCCACAGAAGATAATTTTACGTCGGTGGGCATGACTGTAAGTCGTTGAACGCATGGGGACTGTAATTTAACTTTTTTCCCCTCTGAAAATTTCTGGCTCGTGTGAAGAGACACCGCGTGATAAAATGAATATAAAAAAGCTTGGAATTCAGGAAGAGCGACAGAGGTGAAAATAAATTTCACTTTTCCGGACGCGTTCCGATGGACGAATGGAAAAAATTTTCTCTAAATGGTTGTTGTTTGAATTGCTGGGCGTGTAATTAAATTTCCAGCCCGATTGAGGCCCGATAATGTTTGTGTTAGGAAATCATGCCTTGAGGATATTTTCCTCGCGATTTCCCTAATGCGTATCTTTTGGGTCGGACAATAAGGTAATTTGAGTGTTTAAACAAGAAATTGTAGTTTTAATAAGATTTTGATGCTGCGATAGGCAAAAATTGAGTAATCAGGGAAATGTTTTTGGGAGTTTTTAGAACACAAATATTTGATCAAGATGTTTTAGCGTCATGGGATTTTGTAACACATGGTAAATGGAAGGCTCTCAGTATAAATCAATACGCTGAATACGTATTCGCATATGTGATATAAAAAAAAATCCTGCTGATGAATGCAGTCCTGGAACATTTGAATAAAATATTAGCAGAGAGAGAAACATTTATTATTCCCAATTTCTGTTACTGAAAAATTTATTGCAATTTTAGGAATTTCGCCTCTATAATTCTATAAAAATTTTCACATACTTTGAGTGCCTTTCATGCCAAATAATTCGCATATTCAACACACAAAAAAAATACTGCATTCAAATGAGATCAATGGTATTCATGGTCGATGGAACAATGGATGATATTGAAAATTAATAAATTAACCATCAACCTGTTACTCGGTTCGAATGCAAGCTCTGAGTTTTCTCACAGACTCATCGAACAAAAGAAGGCACATCTGAACAACCTCTTGTGTTCGTGATGATGAAAAAACAGCGAGGAAAAGGTAAACCACTAAGAAAAATGAGGCAATGAATGACCAAATCACACGAGAAGAGACTTTCCAGAGCGTGGAAACTTGTACAGTGCTGAGCGCAGTGATGAATATTGTGGGTGGCGCATTATTAATTGACTCCAAACCAGACCACATAATTGCCGAGTTTGCTACTGAACATCGTCCTCCATGGTTGTGAGACAATGAGGGGGTGAATCACTTGTGTAATTCCGCAATATAGATTTATTGTGGCATCAATTGTACCTCCTTGGGCAAATAGGTGATCATGTGAGGCTCAAAATGATATAGAGGAGCTCGCTCTTCCTGTCGTCGCCTTACTGCGTGTCAATGTGTGTGTGTGTGTGTGTATATATGTATATTGAGTCCAATATATTACTTCCTTTTATTCATATTACTTCCTCTCCTGATAAATTGCTGAAGCATCTCCAGCCCTCTTCCGCCCCATCAATGACAGTGTGTAGATGAAATGCCGACAGGTGAGGCGCATGTGTTACCCTTGATGAAAGACTTTTAAAGAGCTATTTGCAATATATCAAAGATCGGCGGTGTGTCAAATCTCATTTTGCCTAACAAGAAACATTACGGCAAGAAAAGTGCCATCACACATCTCAATAAGGTCACTTAAAGCTATTAAACTCGGCTGGACATCTGATAAAATTGCCATGAGACGGAAAGTAATCCCATACAGATATGATTATGTCTGGCGCTGTGCCAGAAATAATAAAATATGATGGCTCTATGGAGCAGTGATCAACAGTGAATTTCCATAAAAATCATATTTAGTTTATCTAATAATTCGCATAAAAGGTGTTTTCCACTGACTATAAAAAACTCGTGTACATAAATTTTATGAGACGATGAGTGACGCATTCCGTGGACTGAAAGATATTCAAATTTTGTGTATTTTTGGCAAGTTTTTTTAATCCAGATAAATTCAATAAATACCTCGTGAGCTATTGTCATAGTTTTATCGTGGCGTGCACGGTCAAAATTAGAAATATCATAGAGAATTGTTGTCAGCATCCGCGTGCCAAGAGATTCTTGGTAGAGAACATCCAGAAAGAGATTTTCAACAAGGTCTGTCATGTTATTAAATAATGTCCATCAACCGAGAGACAGGAAGACGGAACAACTTGCAATTGCATTCTCTGTTCAGATTGCTTTTTATCAAAGAGAAGAGCTAAAGCGTGTGTGATTTTTTTTAAATCTTAAAATTAATAAAAGTCTGAATAAAAGTACTCAATTTAATACATTACTTCGCTTGTGCCAGAAATATACATCGCACATGCAAGTAGTAAAAACAGTCTCTTTTCCATATTATTACCCTCTAAAGAGATTTTGCGAACGAGTTGTTTTAAAGTTGATGGGAAAAAGAGATGGAAAAATGTCAAGTATCCACCAACGCTTTTCAACAAGATCAAGGTTTTACGGCGAACTGACTTAAATGCCAATGGACTCATGATTCTGTGCTTGAATCCCAGATGGAGATTACCCTTGACGGCACTCGAGAAGGGATTCCGTGGTGGAAGAGGAAGTCGACTTTCCTCTTTTTTCCCGGGCTTGAATAGATAAATCCTGAAGGTGTGGCATGTCTAATGAGAGTTTGAGCACGGATAATCACGACTTTTCAGTTTCTGCGGAAATTGTATACCGCATTGGACTATTATTGTCAACGATGGGCAATGAAGAGAGGAAACTTTGCATACGTGACGAAATATAGTTACATAGTTGAATAATTTTACATAGGCTGTATGTGTGATAGGATACCGAAATTCTTCATCGTGTCAAGAAAGGGATTGGTTTTTCTGCTTTATAAACAGCGTTTTAGAGAATTTGTGAATTGATTTAATCTTATTGGCTAACTGTCGGCATTTTTCATCACTCCATTGTCTATTTTTCGCTAGAAATGGGACAGAATTGCGTTGTATGGGTATTAATTCGTGAACAATAGGCTCCTCGAATGTCGCCTTTATGCTCAAAATTTAATGATACGCGCTTGAAGCTTTGAAGGCAAAATATCACAGCCGAGTATAATATGCGATAAGTGTTCTTTGTGAGCTTTCGCAGTATGGCGGAAATCGATTCTTAATATGCATTATCTCATGGATGACTTCGTCTTTTATATTGGCACAAGATGAAAAAGCCCCCGAGAAGGATTGCTTCTCTCATGAGGGATGGGCTCTGGGGTGGCTCTTGATGGTGTGTTTCTGTGCGAAGTCACACACGCTGAGAATGATGGGTAAACCGCATATAAGAGGGTTTTCCACATCCATTCTCGTGCGGTTGAAACGGCAAAAATGGGAAGGAGGGATCATTTTTCACGCTTCAACACGAGGGGCAAGGAAAAATGCTTGTGATCGCTCTCCCTGCAGATGCACTCAAAAGATACGGCTTTGTGGTAGAGGTATAAGGGCAGATCCGAAGGTGAGATGATTACGCAAGAATCAGCACTTGTTACTAATGGGTTGGAAAGCTCGGATTTTGTAAAGTTTTGCTTGGATAACTCAAAGTGTGGAGTATTGTGGAGAAAGAGAAACTAAAAGCATCTGAACTTGAAAATTTTCTATTAGTAGTCAATGGCAAAGCATTATTTCACTCTGTCTGTAAATAAAGTTAAACACTTTTTATATGCACAAAGAACTTTCTTTTTCATTACATTTATGTTTTTCTACGTACAAAAGTGAAAAAGTTCTCTAAATATTGTGAAATTCCATGTAGCTTTGAGCAAACAATGCTTAACTGGGGTTTTTTGTCAGCACACCAAAAGCGTTGCAAAAAATTCATATCACATTACTGTGGCTTTGTTGAAAAAGCGAGAGTGGTGAAAAAAACAAACACGGTTGAAGTGAGAAGTGATATATAGTGGAAATTTTCCTCCCTTTCACAGTTTTACCCAGACAAACACCGGTTGGCCAATTCATCAGGTTGATAACCGCAACATTATGTGCATGGTATTCAAGTACGGAAATGCGGCGAGAGTTGGCCACATGATCTGCGATGCAACATCCAATCCCATGAGTTTTATGAAATTCAATTTTGCTGTATTTATTGAAGGCATTGCTCGCTGTGAAGTGCATGATAAATGTGTATCAATTTCAGTAGAGAAGCCTGACACGTCTCTGGCCGCAGGCAGTGCCATATGACGCCATACAATCCATCATGCAGCACACCTTCAATCAGACCACATCGAAGCCACACCGCAAATTGCTTATCTTCTGGCACACAAAGAAACCGCCAAAACACCCCCACTTTGATAGCAATTGGTTCACCCACCCTAACAATTTCATCGCAATTCCTTTTCGATTAATTCTTTCTATTTCACGTTAAATAGCTATGGCTTCACCCTCCGGGAGGTATTAGATACACGTTTGCAGTTCAATTGAAATGTTTGGCCCGTTTCACAATACAATCTGTTAGTTTATCCATGAGAGAGCAAAGGTATGTGTAATTTATCCTCTAACGAATACCTGTTTTCTGAGCTTTAGGTAAAAGCATTGCTCGTATAGAGAGAAAATTGACAAAATCTAGTTTCTCTCTTCATTTCTTTTTATATTAGTTATAATTTTGTGATAAAACCATTGTATTCAAAATTGGATTAGAGTATATATATGGTATGGAAATCGGAACTACCATTATGTTTGGAGCGTATGCTTTAGCTCTAATGATATTGATATTCAATTACTAATAGCAAATTACCAGATTTTCTATTCGAGCAAATTCCATGTCTTGTCTGGAATTTCAATCAAACTAATTGAGTTTTATATGCCCTTAGATGTTTGTATAATTGAAATGTGTGTGTTTGAGGAAATCAAATGTGAGATGTGCTTTCGTCCCGATTTAAGAACGAGAAACACTTTACAAAGCCACTCTATTTCACTTTGGCAGAACTCTAAATGAACGCCCAGGGATGTCTATCCTATAAATGAGTTGTGCTGTGAATAGTGCAAAATTTTGATAATTGCTCCAAGGTATGTTGCGAAATACTTTTCCTGGTCCTCAAAGACTTGTCTATGGAAAATTGCACATTTCGCCTGGAGTACTTACGGTAATCAGTCTATCTGTGCCTGTAAATAATTCATGAACTCTTGAGGGGACAAATTAGGTGAAGATTCATGGGAAAAATGATAGGAGAGACTTTTGAGAGTCATTTTGATGGTGTATATCGGGTAATTTTGGAACAAAACACTCTGACATGGATTCGATTACCATATCAATAGTATAGTTCCCTTCTTTTCTCTCCCCCCTTGGCATTTTCCGCTGGAGTGGGAGTGATTGCTCTCGATGCTGTACATGTTGAATATTGATGAGAGGTTTTCCCTGATCAAATTTGAATTTGCAAGAATAATCGAAAATTTTTCGGTGTTGCTTCCATTTGTGGAGGGAAATGTTTTGGACTCCCACACCATCGTTTGCACGAGCATTTTCATGCCACAATTCAATATGAAAAGTTATTCAAATGAGTAACACGGAGTCAGGAAAAGTCAAGTGAAAACATCATAATTGCGACACGGCGGCTAGTGGGGGTGCCAAAGAGGGTTTTTCGTGGTTCGTTTGCGGTAGAGATTTGCTGGTAAATCGAATGAAATTACGGATGGTTGACCGTGAGACGAACTGGAGAGCTTTACATATTTTTGCGTGAATCTCAACAGATTGCTGTCGTAAATATTGATCCACGGCCGATATGAATTTCAATGTAATGTCACGCAACGATTTGCCTCTCTTCTCACCACAAAGTGTTATTGTTGGCAAGAGATGTGCCGGCCTTGAGGCTTCTAACTTTTACTCTGGATACTTTCCAATAAAATGACAAAACACCATGAGCATTCCCACAGTCTGTATAGACAGAATGCCTCCCCATTTCGCACTAATGTACTGCCGGATGCCCTCTGCATACTTATAGACACTCCCGGAAAGGATATACTTAATCGATTGGGCAGAGTGTATTGAAATGGATGTCACAGAGGAAAATTGTTGGAAACATTTCGCCATGATGGCAAACATTGACCTCAGGAATTGTGCTCAAAGGGGAAAATCCATTTGTGGCACTTTAGCCTTTTATATTTCCTTTTCTTTTTTTTCACCCTTCATCTGACGTCTGTTTTCCCTATACAGAAATTTTATTTGAATTTTTTCCTCTTCATTTTGTGAATTGAAAATATCATTAATTATATGTTCATCTCTAAAATGTTAAATGTGTCAATACCAAGAAGATGTAAAATCAATTTTCGTTCATTCCCCCTGAATTTCACCGGCTGAAATATGTTTGTCGGTGGATTTCGCTGGAATTCCACTCGATATTTAAATATAGATTCTCATAGCTGAATATTTCCCTTAAAAAGCATTTAAAAGCATGGAGTTCCACTGAATCAATGTCTAAATTGACTTTTCAAATCCACTATGTGAGAGGAAAAACGCTTAATTTCATCATAAAATCCCCTGTAGTTTTTAATTCAATTTTGTACCTGTGAAATTGAATGAAAACCGTGTGATTTTGCCAGAGAGTTTACAATATTGAAATATTGGTATATATAGTTACGTGAAAATATATATTTGGAGTTTGGACGCAAATAATGATTTAAATTAGACTGAAGATCATGGTGCTATAATAATGTAAATTGGCTTTAGTAGTAGCATTCAATTGCACATAGATTGCATTTGTATCATCAAATTAAGCAATTTATCTGGCTTTGAATATTGGATGAAATGCAATTATGGATTTCCAGGCATTTAACCATAAATAGAAAATATGGAGTAAATTGTGTGCAGTGAAGCTCAAGTATTTATATGTGCAATTATAATAATCTATTTGCATCTCGATGTTGTGACATTATGGAAATTCAAACTAAATGGAAATTTCACATTTCATCATAAGCATCTATTGACATACCTTCCGTTGAGGTGTGAAGCAGTTTATATGTTAATAAGAGTCAAATATGCACCTGAAAATTTGATGAGTTATTTCATAGAGTATATAGATGAAAGTTCTTTTCAACATACTCGAAAAAATTAATACCTCCCTTCATCCAATTTAACATGTAGTAAAGTGGAGGAACTTTCTTATATTTTTCATGTTTCTGACTTGTGATATTTTTTTCCTCCTCACGTGAAAGCGAAAAGCAAAAGAGAGGAGTTAATTCTTCTAAGGAGCTGCTAAACACTAATTACTTCCTTCAGATGAATTTTTTTCTGGAAGTTTAACAAACTTAACATGACTTAATACCATAAAAATGTTCAATTATTTTTTATGAGTTTTTTTTTCTCTTTTCGTCACCATAACTTTCACATGGAAAATGTGCTTATGAAATTGCCTGAGCGAGGGCAAATGCAAAAAATTGAGACTTTCGCTTTCTTCGATGGTGAAAATTCATGAGAAAAAGAAGCTGAAACAGGCGAACGTTTCAACCTTTCAAGCATACACTTGGCTAAGTATAGACTTTGCGATATAGAGTTACACTCCTTCGATAGTTTACTCTTCCCTGCCATCAGTTTGCAATATTGTCGAACGATGGGGTGACGAGTAAATCCATGTGATTGTGGCTTTGCGGCTCCTTCATGAAGATCGATACTATTTTACGATTGTGAAATGTCGGATTTAACCAGCACGCGACAGCGTACTACAACTCTATATCCTTATATTACATCCATAAGGCTACAAGAATCAAAGAAAGTAACAATGTGTGGTGTGAAATTACAATCAAACTTTCTGCAATGTACGTTGAAAATTATGGCTTAGTAGACTATCTTTAATTACTTGAAAATGAATTGTGAAGCAATATGGGGAATTTTCTCAGCTCATATGAACCATGTAAGGACTTTTCGAGCAGTTGCGAGCCGGAATGTCGAGGACAATTGCTTTAACGTGAATGCTCATTGGTAGAAAATCACGTGAAGAATTAATGAAGAGAATTACAATGAGCTTTTTGATGGGACACCCTTCAAATGTGACCCGTTTAATGGGACTTTTTGGGTAATTATACCCTTCGTAGTTGAGGCAATGAGATTGTCATCATTTGTCCCTGGTTACCGTCGAAGGGACATTTTCATTAAATTTATTTAATTCGCTGGCGTCTTATATCTGTTCATATTCCCTTGTTTATGAAGTGGTAGCACCTTAAATCTACACCTTAATCTACACTTTCCAAAGTGACTATTTGCTGGCATCCACAAAACTATGTTTACGCAAACTTATACGCCACACATTACGTGCATTTTTTTGACGGAAAATCGTTCAGTCTATTAACAAAAACACCCTAATGACTTTGGAGAATGATTTCGAGTTACTATAAGAAATACTTACCAACATCTGTATGGATGTTCCACAGAATTTCATTGTTGCATAAGATTGTAGCCATCTGTTTGCAATGGGACACCTTGCTTTCTCTCTCTCTCTTTCTTTCGCAGCTAAAAATAACAACATACCACAAATACTGTACAATCTGCCACAAAACACGAGGAGAGTTGGTCCAAAAATATTCTAAACACAAATGTCAGGCATTTTATCTTTACCAAAATGACTTCAAAACATGGTATCTTTGTGGTGAAAAGGTAGAGTGTACTTTTAACATCCGCAAGTTAATTTTTGAATTAAAGAGGAATTGCCAGTGCATCGCATTATTCCAGAGTTATGAAACAATGCTTTCGTACAGACTTTCTGGTTGCAGGCTTCATAAATGTGGATTTTATATAATATGAAAAGGGGAAATGATAACCTCATGACAACTTGAATCAAGAGAACGGAAATGAAGACTTTCAATTTGCCCGAGAATAGCCAGCAAGAGTAAATTTAGCAATATTCCCTGAATAATCAAATTAATTGAATGATGAAAGTAGGAAGCAATTCTGTTACAGTTGATTGTATTGAAAAGCGTTTTACCAGCGGAAAATAATACACTTTTCTCTGTAAAATAAATTTCTTTAATTTCTAATTCAAGTTTACATGAACTCACAATATTATTCACTTAATACTCTTCCACATTCAGGGCTATAATTAATCCGAATATCATGATGTCGCTTGGACTCTGGTCTACACAAGTTCTACATGTAACATTTACTTGAAGATTGATAATATGAATAGTGTATGATGTGTGGTTTGATGCTCGGCGAGAGAAGATTCTGTGCTCTTTCAGTAATATACTCTTTAGGGCTCTTTCAGTGAGTATATTATTGGAATTGCATTGATTTGTGGATAATTCCCTCACGTTCTAAATAGACTATGCAATATCTTATATACTTTGGTGTTTGATTTAGAGATTAATAAGTGCTCTCCAGTTAAATATTTACTATGAGATTGAAGTATCAACATGTACTGCTATCCTTAATGCTGCTCTACTCTACATTAAATAGTTTCACTATTTTTAATTTGTATTTACATTCACATTGGCTATTAACCTATAGTCATTTACGATATTTCATATATGTATATATTTTTTCTCTTTCTGGTCAAGAAAATATGGCAACTTCAAAACTCTTCCACAACATCTCTGGAATTATATATAGATTGTTTTGAATAATTATTTCAAATTCATCTGAAACACAGCTTCTCACACAAATTCTAAATCTACAATTTACTCCAGTAAATTATCAGTCTTTCGTGAAACTTATTTATACATACAGGAAACAAAACTTAAATTTCTCTTTCATACTATCAACAAATAGGATATGAGTGCATTTTTGAGTTTTTATAAAACTTTTTTTTCTCTCTCTACAATGCATTTTCTAAGTTATATTCACAGTTGAGTATTTCTGTATTTCATCCAATTTCTCTTATTCATTTTTTACATACTAAGTTCTGTTTCGGAAAACATACAGTGTGTCTTAGATGAAAAGAACTCGCCAGAGAGGTATTTACAATATAGATATTAAATTAGAATGAAATCCAATATTTATGAGACAAATGTGAGCAAATTATGTGGTAAAAAATAACTTTTTAGAACTCTAATTTAATTTACAATTGCATAAAGTGTTAAACAAGTTGTGGCTCAAATGCTTCAATGTCATGTGTAGACATAAAGGAACTTTATAAAAGCTGAAAACAGGAATTTTCTGTAAAGTCTCACTAACTCCATTTACAGCGAAGCTGTGAATCCAAGTGAAAATTACATTCAATTGACGGTTAAATTGCCTTTGGGCATACACAGGCTTTGTTAAAGTACTCTCAGTGGTCTTCTATGCGAACAGTACACAAGAGTTCTTCAACGAGTTCAACTAATCTTCGACAATATGAAAGTTTGACGAGGAATATAAACTTTCTTTAAAAGTAATTCCCCCTTTCAAAACTAATAGATTACTTGTTTATTAAATTGTCTGTCCATGTTCTGTAAAATAAGGGAAAATTGAACACTTGAATATGTTATCCAACAAACACTGCACATGATCCTTTAATGCTATGAAACAGATGAGAAAGTCGTCGATAAATCACAATTTAACTAACCTTAATGCATTGCAAATCAACGTAATTGATTTTATCCCATGACTTTCATGAATGTTTATTAATGAGTTGCAATTGCGGCGATTCTCCTCCTGTCTTAAGTAGACTTTATGCTCGGCTGAGAGTGGGTTTACGATGTTGCAAATTGCTGGAATTCATCTCACACCGATATCCCGCTTCCACTTTCTCAATTAGCCTCTTCCCGGTGCCTTTTTTGCGTCGTGCTCATGCGGGATAGACGATCTCTTGGGAGCTATGTATGTACAGGATATAATCCATAATTTCATATACAACATCGATTATTACGTCTTAATGCCTAAGAGTTTCTTGAAAGCCCTCCTATAATCCAAGTTGAAAATGGTGTAGATAATGGGGTTGAGGGCCGAATTGATGTAGCCGAGCCATGTAATGAAATTGATTAACTTGTCCGACGGACAACACGAGCCGCAAAAGGGTAGGGTGACGTACATAATAAAAAACGGAAGCCAACACACCACGAATACACCCATGATTATGCCGAGCGTCCGCGCCGCCCGACGCTCTTTCGACAGGGAGATTTTCTGCTTTTCCTCGATGAATTGGTACATACCACCTGCGCGACGCATTGATTGCTTCTTGGTGTCCTTCCTCGCCTTGTCCTTGTCGTTGTCAGTGGCGATAGTCACCCCATCACCGTTCGGCTTTGCGCTCTCCGATGACGCTTCCTGGTTGTTCTCCGTGACGGAGTCCTCACGAACAACCGGGGCTTCCAGAAGACAATCCGTTTTCTTATCCTTGTCCTTCTCGCGCTTCTCCAATTTCTTCTTCTCGCGCTTCCGTCTCTTCTCCAGACTCTTAGCATTGGACGTGCAATCCGAGACGTTGGGGTGCTCGTTGTGATTCGTCTCGCTGCTCACGGACTCCTGGTCGGGTGCCGGGGCCTGAGTCTCCTTGCCGCCTGTGCTCCGCAAGGCCATGGCATTGATCTTGGATGCCCGGGCACGCTCTCGCAGTCGTCGCCGGGTGGCAATGTAAATTTCGATGTATACAATTGTCATAATAACTAGGGGTATGAAAAATGAACCTAAAGACGAATAGATCACATAGCCACGCTGCGCCGTGAGCTGGCAGGGATATTCGCTGCTGAACTCCTCCGGCCAGTCATTCCAGCCAATCAAGGGTGGCGAGCTAATGATAAGGGATAGCACCCAAACACCCGCGATCAGCAGCAACACTCTCTCAACCGTGCGCTTCTGGGCATAGTTAATAGGGTCGGTGATGGCCCAGTAGCGATCCAGAGCGATGGCGCACAGATTGAGGATGGACGATGTGCAGCAGAGCACGTCACAGGTGAGCCACATCTTGCACAGGTGGATGCCGAACTCCCATCTGCCGAGGAGGGAGTACGCCACATTGAAGGGCAGCACCAGCACCGCCACAGTAAGGTCCGCCACGGCTAGCGACACTATGAAGAAGTTCTGCACAATCCGCAGCGGTTTGTACGTGAATACACTGAGAATGACGAGAATATTACCGATGATGGTGAGGAGTATGATAAGCGAGAGCACCAAAGCCGTGGCGATGGCTTCCCACTGGGGTACGGCCAAGTCTATGCCAAGAACAGTTGGGTACCACACTTGCACCGCTTTGTGACATCCCTCGTTTGAGGAATTTAAGCTAGTGTTGTTCATCATCACTGTCGTTAAGGTCATGTTGAATCCAGTCTGCTCAGCACACGGGCAGCTTCAAGTAATCTCCTGGTTACGTGCCCGGCGTAACAAAGTGCAGGTGCAGCGGAACATGATATCCTCTCATGAGGGCTGACATAACACACTGATGCTGCAACGAGACAAAGGATGACCGTTAAATAATCGTGACCGAAAATGCCCAAAATATTATATCAGGCCAGAGTTGGAGGGATTGGAATATGTAGAATAAGGATTGGTAATCGAATTAGTGTAAGTGTTAAAATGTGCAAAACTTTTCGAATATAATGGGTTCACAATAAGATTATGCAATTGAAATGTTAATAAAGTGTTTTATTATCAAATTATCATCACTTTGTAAACTATGGTTTTTATTTGAAAGCTTGCTAAAAGTGCATAAAGCAATTGAAATAGAGGAATAGTTCCTTACAATGCAGTATATTTATACAAATTGAGCTGGTTTTATAATTGCAATAACTTCAAAAGTATATGACAAGTTTTACTTCCTTCTGTATTACGCATTACCCTAGTTTCCTGTCCCAACATCTTTTGTATATGTACATACAATTATCAAAAGTTCCACTAAAATCAATTATGATAATCAATTCCTCATTTAAAGTTTCCTCCCACTTTGTGAAAACATCTCTAAAGTTCCGTCAGCTCTGTGCTTCTCGCTGCTATTAAAATAATTAAGTAAAAACCTCAAGTGACATGGAAGGGTGTTTGCCAGGAAGGCGAAGGAAGTTCGAGTTGAAGAGAGAAAAGTCTCCCTTTGCTTTTTCCTTTTACTTTTAATGCGAAATTCCATAAAGTCAGTGTACAAAATGTTGGGGTATTTGTACGTTAGTTGAATATCAAGTGAATTTCCTTAATTACAATTAGCTGTTTAAATATATACCCACACTCATTACATAGACAATTTTCACCGTCCGACACGCTGTCGAGCTGTTTTCCTTTCCAGTCAGCAAGCTCTATGGCAAGGCCATCCGGAAACTTTTCTATTAAAATATTAAATTCAAATTCACCAGCCGTGCGTTTCAGTCCTCATTTCCAGCGTGCACACTGAACTTTAGACATGCTCCTCATGCCACTCGTCTTGACGGTGTCGTGCAAAAACATTTAATCCCCACCTCCTACTTGTGCACGAAGGGAAAGTGCCAAGTCGAGGGAGTTTTGACATGGAGTGCCACTGCTGAGAAACTGGATAAGGTGCAAATATTGTGATAAAAGTGTGAGAAGAAGCATGTTTTAATGCCATGTTGCAAAAGGTGGCTTCCAAACTATTGGAATGAAATCGTTTATGTCTAAAAATGTCGTCATGAATGGGCTCTTGCTAGTGATCTTCCTCCGTCTGTCCGAAAAGTTCAACTGCCATTCAGTTAAAAAGAAATTCTCCCTTAACTTGTAAATCTTTGTGCCGTCTTTCCTTGCTCTCCGCTTTTATGGCGATTATATGGGGCATAAATTGTGTTTAGTAGTCAATGTTGTCATCCAAACCTCCCTTGGGGGACTTTTGGGACCGAATTATCCATTCATGAATTTTTTTCTTCATCATTTTTTATATCGTGTTCATCGCGTAAAGCATAGAACGTTCTATTTTCTCACGTCATCGATTAAAAGGGGATATCATGTTTAAATATTTTCTCATTTAATCTATTTAATATATCTTGGCGAAACTTTGGCACGAGTTGATGTCATCGGTTGTAAATTGAATAAACATCACAGCTTGGACACTAATTAAATACAAATAAATTGGTTTTATTTTTGCCGATTTCCTATCAAACGCAGAGCTGTGATTTGTTTTCTTCAATGCGAGGCGCGTTTCTAATTAATCGATTAAATCACATTCTGTGGCTTTATATAATAATTACATGCAAATACATAAATCTGCTAGGATTTTCCTATTACTCACAAATTGACATAAACTTGCCTTACTCATATAAAATCTCACTGTGCACAGTATGCTCGAGAAAATTACATTTTCCCAAAAATTAATTATTAATGATCGCAGCAAAGGAAAGCCATTTTCCATTTTTCTTCCTTCTCTTTCATCACAACCACGTGTCTAATATAGCAATGAAGCATAATAGAATACTGCACAGCAATTATCATAAAGAAGATAAATAGTCATTTCATATTAAATGTATTATCTGTTGGCAACTTGAAAATAATTGGATTTTTCTCCTCTCGCATGCCGCGTCGTCCTCGACGTAATCCCCATTCAATCTCTTGGAACTCTCCAATCACTTGTCAATAAACAAACAATTAAAGTGAGTTCTGTCTGAGACGAAACATCTTCCACAGCATCAGCGCTCCATTGAGTATCGATCAATTGAGTTTCTCAAGCATTTTGCATACTCGGTCAGACATTTGTCAGCAATTTCGTTTGTAAGGAATGTGGAACAAATGATTTGGGAGATAAGTGCCTAGAATATTATGAACGATATTAAGAAATGTCTCGCCATTTGCTGGGGATTTATTGAAATTTTATTTCTCTCGTCAAGCGTGGGACAAATTGCCATCAGGCGAAGTGACATTACCAATGCCACAATAAGCTCTATTTGATTACCAAACTTACTGATTTATTCGGTAGCTAATGAAGTGTGTCGAATGAATTTCATCTTTATTTATTTCTGAGATATAGATTCAACATGACAATTCAAGGGGTATTTCATGCAGCTTCTGGCAATACAACTTTGCCCATTATACTTCAACTATGGCTTTAACGAGATTGAAAACTTTGATAAATCAATAGAATTCATACTAAACCGAAGTGGAAAAATTCGCACTTGAATTGTTAAAAACTTTGAAGAATTTGAGACTATTCAAGATACATGAACATTTATTATGCGCTTTTAGCAGAAGCAGCTATTGAAACTTCCAAACGAAAAATCATCTGGTGCTCCAATGAGAGAATGAGAAATTTCTCCCTCTGGCAACTTTTCAATAGATCATTTAAGGCCGAATGTGAAATTCCAGACTTTCACGAGTTAATATGCTTAGTTGTTAGGATTTCGTGCATTCAACAGATGATGGGGTGACTTTTAAAAGCACCTGACACAGGGAAGCCCGTAAATCTGACGGAAAACACGAGACTTGACGTGAGGAAGTGGGTGTACAGTTATAGGAAGTCTGACAAACCCCTTCGTTATGCTCCGCGTGGCTTATTTCTTCATACGGCTTCGTGCTCACAATTCAATGGCTCCCATATGAATGATGTATCGGGAAATTGTTTGTGATTCCTCAGCAGCCAAAAGGAAGCGTGTGTGTCTATGCCAACAATGGAAATGTATCTTGGCATAAAGATGATATTTTCGATGAGGGAGATAAAGTGAAAATTGAGTTAATTGATGTGGAAGGAGGAGAACTTTTGGTATTATGTACACAATAGAGTGCTAATTATTGATGAAGGAGTTTTGTGTTTGTGTTACCATCTTGGATGGTCGAGAAGGAGGAACTTTCTCAACAACATCTCAACTTGATTGTCAATCATGCTTGGCAAGTGACAAAAGACAAATTTAATTACCATCCAGGAGATACACATAATCACTTGGGTGAGTGTCTTTGCCCCCCAAAGAGCTTTAAAGTATGGAGAGCGTCACATTCATTACGATATCAGCCGACGTGAGATGGTGCGATGGCACAGCGCGATGCATGACAGGAAATTTTATCGACCTAAAATTTTCACGCAAAATGACAAATTTGCTCTTCGTCTAAACATTCCTATGATACCATCCCTAACACAATGTAATTTAATTTTTTTTTCCCTCCACACATGGAAGACAAGAGCGTGTTTTCTTGAAGGCGGCCCAGCAACAAAATTTATAGGCATTTTGTATTACAGGAATTAAAATAAAATTCTTGCCAGAGTGTGTTCTGTCATGTGGTTTCCAAGTGGCATTGAACAGAAGAGGAGGCATCCATGGCGTATTTTTTTCATCCCATTGCAAATATACATGTTTACATTTGCGTATTCAAATTTTTACGCGATCGTAAAATGAGCTTTCATGGTACATACTTATGTGTCGTGTTACATACCAATATTCCATGGAAAATGCGATAAGAGAGAAGCGACATTGGAATCGTAACCGTATAATTTTGTATGGTGGTTAGTGAAGATAGTTTGCTGCATTATGCATGTGGACTTTTAGGTGCTCCATGGGGAGAATTCTGCGAAAGTACCAGCATACAATTAAAAAGTTCTATTTCTGCCCCCAGATTCACAATTTCAATGTAATTTGTCTATTGAATTATTTAATTTAGCACATTTAATATAATTAATGTGCAAAGAGTTTTACGATACATAAAAGGTAACACATTGCCGGGGGGTTAACATCTCAAATAGATTGGTAAATATTCCAAGGACAATAAGTTTGTTAAGAAGTAATTTTTTAAACTATCATTTATTTTCTTTATTCTATAGTTGAATTTGCATTATTCTAAACCCCCTGCTCGCATACATATAGCATTACTTATGTATGTGAATAAATTGCATGATTGTACAACATTTGCTGCGGAAATTAATGAGTAATGCTGAATTTGCTGAATGTAAAAATTATATTTTCATACAATTGAGCTTCAAGTGTGCAGAATTGAAGTGGCAATGGCGAGCAATTTGTGGTAGACCATCCTATTCAATTGCGTAGTGTAATATGTATCATTATGCCTTTGAATATTATCCCACAAGTTGCGAAGAATGTACTTGTGTTCTGCGTTGTAGTAAATTGAAAATTTTCTGCTTGAATACTGCTATAATAGAAATTATAAATTGTATTGTCATAAATTGGATTATATGTCAGTGAGTACAATGGAATTACGACGTATCTCTCTTGAATGCTATATAAAGAGGGATTGAAAGGATAAAAGAGTTGATTTATCAAAGATTGACTTCGCAACTATTTTCTCGTGTCGCGCAGTTCAAATTTTAATGAAATTCTAAAGTGAATCTCTTCTGCGAGGAGTTTATTTGTGTCACACTCTCCACTTTCATTCAATTCTCTTTTCGCTCCCTTTTTGCATCAAAGCGCGTCTCTGGGTGAGAAATATATTCTATTTGTCTTCACTTAACCAGTTTAACTCGTTTAACTGATCAATCACAAGCGGCGATAAATTAAAAGAGAAATATCTCGGGAA